ATTTTTTTAGCATGCAATGTGAGATCTACCCTCATAACAAATTTTTTCCTTACATAACACATAGTTACAGTACTATAAGCACAATGTTACACAGCAGATCTCTAGAACTTATTCATCTTGCATAACTAAAACTTTATATCCATTGAACAACACCCCACCTCCCCCTCACCCCAGCCCCTAGCAACAACCATTCACTAATTTATTCCTATAGAATATTACTCAGCCTCAAAAAAGAGGAAAATTCTAACATATACAACAACATGAGTGAACCTGGAAGATATTATGCTAAATGAAATAAGGGAGACACAGGGCAAATACTGCATGATTCCACTTACATGAGGTATCTAAAATAGTCAAACTCATAGAAAAAGAATACACACTGCTTTTGCACTGCACCTTTAATGACTGTGTGTGTGTATGTGGGAGAGGCAGGGTGGGGGGGGTGGCGTTGTTTTCTCTTCAACTAAAGGGAAGCTCTTTGCCTTTTCTCACTCTTCCCCCATACCAGGCAGGGTCTTATGGGAGTTTATTTGCTTGACTGAATGGAGTCTGTGCAGCTGGCTGCACACCTGATGGATGGGCCACACAAGGAAAAAGAGACTGAGAGCAGCTCTGACATGTTAAAAAACACTTATGACCCAGAGCTTTGAAATAAGCTGAGTCCAATATCAAATCACACTCCTCCTCTGGTTTCAAAAAATATCAGTCACCTAAACTGCGTCTATTGGCCAAAATCAAGAAGCCCTGGAACTGAGGGTATGATATCCATATCTTGCCTAAATTTCAGCTCCTACATCATGATGCTAAAGTACTATATCAAGGGGGTTCTATCAAAATTACCCAGCTCACTCTTGCAGTCTTAAGATCTGCTATTGATAGAAACCACCCACTACCACTACCTATCCAGGCTGTCAACACTCTGAAAAGGAAAATTTGGAGCTTAAAAGAAAGCTTAGGGGATTTAAAGTGCTGCTGGAAAATAAAGTGAGACCCAAATCCATGGCTAGCCCATACTCTCTGCACTACCCGAAGTGAATCACATAAATTCTTTGTTTTATTATTGAATTTACTGGGGTAACATTGGTTAATAACATTATATAAATTTCAGATGCACAATTTAACAATATAACATCTGTGTGGAGAGGGTAACCGGGGTCAAACAGTATACGATAATGGAGGTAGACCAGTGTTCAGGAGGTGAGCACACAAACTCTTTGTGCCTCAGTGTCCTTGTTTAAGATAATGGTTGGTAATCACACTTCCCATGGTTGTCATGAAGATAAGACATGCATGGCCCATACCCAGTAGAAGTGTTTCATAAGTAGCAACAGATATTATCTCAGGATAAGCGCCATTAAGTGATCTGAGAATGTTTGGTTCAAGTCCAGTCAGCACACAGTATGCACAAGACCTAGGCTTCTCTCTCTCCAACCTGTACAACAGCTTCCAAAAGAACCACTGGGCCTTCTTGTCACACCGTCTCTTCCCTCAAGGCTGCTGGGCACATCAGGGGCCCAGCTGCGTCTCAAGAAACCTTCTTACACTTGTCAGAACTGAATTTATTTAAAGATACACATTTAGCCGCATATGTTTTCCTGTTGACTCTCCTAACAACATGTGGCATATACATGCCTGAATAGGTCTGCTGAAACTTCACTGCATGAGATCAGTATCTATAAAAAGCTACCGTCTCAATAACAAAACCACCTTTTTGTTTTCTGTTGCCTTGTCTCACCCCAGAAGCAAAAAAGGCTCTCCCTTGTCATGCAAGGGAGGCAGGTGCTGAACACACTAGGGCCCAGCCCCTGTCAGAAGACAGCTGCTGTCAGGAGGACCTCTCCACAGGGGCAGGGGACAAAATGCTCCCTGGCAGAATTTACCAAAGCAACAGCTATTCCGTCAGTGACTTCTGGGTGCCAGCTGCTTTCTGTGTGCAATGGTGGGACTCACTTTGCTCATTCACAGAAACAGACACAGAATAGCTGGGGTAACCAGGCAGACAAAAGATAGAGAAGCTAGACAATGAGAAAGGGCAATGACAGAAAGGTGTCAGTCACAGATCAGTATCACAAGAAGCAATGTCATGGAGCTGCCTGTGACAAAAGTGTGAAAGAAATGGCCCGCAGGTGCAGTGCCGTTAAGGAAGGAGAGGAAGGAGGAGGGTCGGTGTGTCTGAGGAGGACTGGGAAAGGCTTTCTTGAGAGTGGGTAGTGTGGTCATCCTCCCCTCAGCCCTGGCAGAGGGAACACAATGACCTGGCGGTGCAGGAAAAGGTGTTGTACTCGTGGAAAAACTTCAAATTGTCTGTAGTACACACTTTCTCTTGAATAGCTTTTGATTCTATGGGAGCTGTTTTACAGCTCTGTAAATATGCAGCCAACTATAGACATGCTTATTCAATCTTGCCCAATAGTTCCATTGACACCCCCCTCCTCCTTCCCACCTAAGAGAAAAATAGTTTCATTCTTCATTCAGAATTTGTACCATTTTGACTTTTCTTCTGATCTGGATAGACCATCTGCCTGGTTTTCTCATATGAACAAAGTAGATTGCTTAACCCATGTTCATTGTTATATCTACATGACAGCCATGATCTTACTTGTTTCCTAAAAATTATCCATTAACAGAAGTGCTATTTCCCTTCTGCTGGGCACCTTCCAAGTGGCCCCAAGCCAGCTGACTTTCCCAGCTGAAATACAAGAGGCCCATTTGCCTGGGATTAGAAGGCACAGTGATTTCCCAACACCACAGGCAAGCTTCACTATCATGTACAGAGCACTTGCTGCGTGCCAGCCTCTGGGTGAAATGCTCCATGCTTAGTTACCTGGTTTGATCCTACAAAGACCCTGAATGGTAACTTTTCTTACTACCTTTTACATACAAGGGATCTGAGGCTCAGAAGAATAAAGCAACTTGCTCCAGTCGCTCACACAGTAAGTGGGGAGGGAGAAATTTCATCAAAGTCTGTCTCTGAATTCCAGACAACCTTACCTCGTCTTTAAATTAAGTTCCAGCATCTTTGTAGGATGGAGATTTAGTTCCTCACTAAACACCATGAGATGCCCAAGAAGCAGGCATCCTCCTCAACCTGAATTTTCAGAGCTCCTCTACGTTCTCTGTCTTTATTGCTACTCAATCCCTCCACTCCCTAACCTCCCTTCCCGACTCATTAGCTGTCATTCTGCTCTCCATCTGTAAGGCTATCCCCATTTTCCTTGTTAGCTGAGTTTGTTCATTAGATTTCACATATGAGTGAAATCATATGGTATTTGTCTTTCTTTTGCTTATTTCACTTAGTATAATGTTCTCCAGGTCCATCCATACCAGAGTCAGACTTCTTTAAGACTATCCACATTTTTCTTCCCTACTCACTTCTGCCACTCAGTCCTCCAAATACTCCCAGCTAGCTTCTGGCTGGCCGCAGCACTCTATACCAGCACCAGTGGCCTCCATTTAGCTAAAGAGAGAACCATGTTTTTCAATCTTCATGTCAACTGGTCTCTCAGCAGCATCTAACAGTGCTCTGTTTTCATTCCCTGCATAGGACTGGTCCTCGCCCCTCTCTAGAATCCCTCTAGTGCTCTCATTCAGTCCCACTGTTTCATTGCCACATGGGTATAGATGACTCATAAACTCTCACATCCAGCCTAGATCATTCCATGGAACTCCAGTCCCACTTGTACAATTGTCTACTTGCCACCTCTTCACTGATATCTAAAAGGCAGCTCAGATCAGCCATGTCCAGAAGCACATTTTTTATCTCTACCCTCCTCTTTGACCCTACCCCTCAAAACCCAAAACACCTTCAAGTACTCCCAATCTCAGGGACTTCTAACCAGCCAGTTACACAAGCTGGAAACCCATTATACCTGTGGCCACTCTTCCTTCACCTCTCACATCCAATCCAACATGAAAGCCTGTTGACTGAACATACCAAATAGCCCCCAAATCTAGTTTTTTCTCACATTCCCCTTCATTTCTATTCTGGCCCAATGACCAGCATTTCTAGTCCAGGGTCCTCCAAGCCTCCAAGCTGTGTATCTCAACCCACTGTAGGACTTCTGATCGGATGGAAGCCATGGCATATTTACAAAATGCAAGTCCAACAACATGGATGGATATTGAGAATATCATACCAAGCAAAATGTCAGATGCAAAAAGTCAAGAAGCCTATAATTTGATTTCAGTCATATGTGGGATATAATACTGAAAGCAACAAATGAACAAACAAGACAAACAGACAAAACCTCATAGACATAGACAACAGTATGGGTTGTTACCAGAGGTAAACGGGGGTGGGGGGTAAGGAAAGGATAAAGGGGGTCAAATATATGGTGATGGAAGATTCGACTTTTGGAGGTGAACATACAATGCAATATGCAGATGACACATCATAGATTGTGCACTGAAACATAATTTTATTAAACAGTGTCACCCCAATAAATGTAATAGAGTTAAAAATACTCAAATGCAGGCCCGTGACTTGGCACCTTCTTACCTTCAGCCTCATCTCTCACTACTTGCCCATCTCCCACCCCATGTACACTCATCTCTTCCTAGGTCCTTGAGCCCCTGTTCCCTTCTACATGGCCCTACCTATGCTGTTGCTTCTTCTTGAAAAGCTCTTATCCCACCCTTTTTGTCTTCTCCTTCTCCTCCTACACAGCTAAGTATCACCTCCTCATTTTTCCTGACTTCCTTGATTAGGGAAAATTTCCTTCTTATGAGTTCTGGTAGCACCTTGGCCCTCTCCTTTATAGTTCTCTACTGCAACTTTACATTTCTTTGTAAGACTATTTGATTGTATCTGTTAGCAACATGAGATGTGGGCCAAGTCTGCTTTGTTTACCACTGTACCCTCCACACCCGTTTCAGTGACTGCACACATAAATACAAGAGTAGCTAACATTTACTGACACACATGCCAGGTTCTTTGTGCGTTGTGTGAACTTTTTCACTTATGTCTCAAAACAACTCTATCTGCACAGAAGAAATTTTACCTGAGAGTTCATCAGGCGAATGGTGGTTTTTCTGCCCACATCCTGTTGGAAGTTGGCTGTAGGTGCCCCATTAAACCTCAGAACTGCATCATGATCATCTGTAAACCACAAGGAAACAAGAAGTGGTGAGTACCAGAAATATGCAGAGAGAGAAGTTGTGGAAGAAGAGAGGGCAGGAGGAAGAGGAGGGGCAAGACAATGTTATTTTACAATCTTTATTCCATTATGGTATACAGGAAGAAATTATCATATTTGTATGGTGCAATTGGATAAGTTCATAGACAGAAATGAGCACCTGTCTGCTTGGCCACTGCAAGGGCTCAAGAGGTCCATATCATGGCATTCCTGATCTGTTCAAATAATACCAGTATGCCTAGGTACAGTGGAAAAGGGAATGGGGCCAGTGGAATCACTACTCCAGTTACCAATGGAGCAAAACCAAATACTCTTTTGGTATAACCAAGGAGTCACACTTCTTTCACTGTCAGAGAAATGAAGATACTACCATAAGGTTGGCCTAACCTATAAGTGCAAAGCACCCCATAGCACTCTTAAAAGCTTGCAGTGCTCAGCAAATGGGAGGTATTCCCTATGGCAACCAAGATCACCCTCTAAGTGATCCATTTAGGAACCTAAGCCTATGTAGAGTCACAAAGCTGGTGGTGGGAGAGATGGGGCAAAAGATCATAGAGCTAAACTAAACCCCATATTTTCTACTTAAAAAGCTCTTTGCCAGAAACAATGTCCTAAATCCAGCCAAAATCAATCAGATAATCTTGAAAAATCTACTCACTTCCAGTTCATGCAGCTGTTTAAGCAGAGTTTGGAAGACTTGGAGAAGTTGACTGACATTGACTAATTCAAAGGGGCAGGGAACTCGATGACTTTTAAGATCCATCCCAACCCCAAGCCTCTGTGATCCTATGAGAGTTCATCCCAACCTTACTTGATCAAGAAAGTTTGGATTCACCACTGAAATCTGCACAGACATGGAGGTCAGCCCAATCCTCAGTGTTTCTATTTTTGCATGGGGGCTTATTTTGAGTGGTTCTTCATCCACAAAGGTGGCATCCAGAGGAAGGGGGTGGGGGTGGGCACTTGGCTCAAAATAAGATGATCTGAAGGGAGAATGCCCACAGAATTAAGGAATAAAAGCCTCCTTCTTTATTTCAATTCTAACATGTATACAACATCCCAGGAAACTAAACACCTTTTTCATAGGAATGACCCGATCCTCAATCTTTGGACAAAATCTTATCGAAAGCACTCAAAAGTTATGTACATGTGCTCAGTCCAAACTATCAGCTTACAGGGCAGGTACATTGAACTTCAGACACGACAGGAGGTACATCTTTACACAACTCAGATTGCAGGAAGTTTTGTCAGAATCAGTCCTGGTTTCACAAGTGACCAGTAGTAAGCATACGGGAAATGCAAATCACCAGAGATTTCACTTAGTTGACTGTCCTATTTCACAGGTGAATTAATGATTTATCTGAGGGTCCCATAGGAAAGAATGATAAACTCAAATGGAGTACTAATCTAGAGTTGAAAACAGGGACTATTTAGAAAGTCGTAGGTAGAAAGAAATTGGCAAGGGATGGAGCAAGACCTCAGGGTTCCAGCAGCAGGAGGCCATTACAACCCCTGCAGCTAAGGTGGCAACAGGAGCAGAAGGCCACTGGTCAGGCACTGTGTGTGGCCTTTAGGAGAATACAGCTACTACTAAAGCCTGCTGGCAAGAAAGGAATCAATACCCCAACTTCTCTTTCCTTCTTCTTGCTGCCTTCTGGGCTCTGAAGGGGAAAAAGAGACAGCAAGGGCTGTTTGAAAAGGGCTGAGACTGTCAGCCAAGGGAAAGAAGCAGCCTGTGGTTATTCTGCCAGGAGAGACCCTGGAGACAGATAGCCGCACCTCACTCTCCTTCTTCTTCTTATCTTCATACCAGTGACTCTATTGTCCAGCCCCCAGTAAATGCCAGAGGGCAAGGAAGCTCAGCTGACATAGTACCAAGTTGCAATTCCCCAGGGCACAGAGTCAGGTAGAAAAGGAGAGAGGGGATTTAGAATGGCAAAAGGAGAACCCCCAGCACAGGAGGCTGAGAATAGGTCCTCAGGGGCTACGAAAACAAAGGAGAATTTTTTGTTCATTCAACAAATACTAATTAAGCACCTACTCTGCCAGGCTCAGTTCTAGGTACTAAAGACAATGGACGTGGGCAAGAAGGACAAGGTCCTTGCCCATGGAGAGCTCATAATACTTCAAGGAGAGAGACAGTAAAGAAGCACAACAACCTATACTCAGGTTAATTACTCATTGTAATTAATACTATGACACAAATAACCTGAGCTGTGTAACAGAAACCCTGCAAAATCTCCTTTAGATAGGGCAGCGATTTCCAACTGGTGTTGCTGCAAGAATGTTTAAATCATGCAATACCTGACTATTTCAGGGGCAGGGACCTCTTTTCCCTTAGACTGTCAAATAAAAAAAATGACAGCAGCCAACTCAACAATAACCTTCCAATGCAAATAAATCAAAATTGTACCTATTTCTTTTGTCAAATTGGCAAAAAATATATATCTATTTGGTGTGCTGCAGAATTTTCGTGATTAGTGTATGTGTGCCATGAGATGAAAAAGGTTGGAAACACTGAGATAGGGTGATGATTTGGGGAATGAGTCTGAGCTGACACCAGAAGGGTGGCCAGGCCTGGAAAGGGCCCATGGAAGTACATTTCAACCAGAGGATGGGACAGTGTCAAGATCCAAAGAGGGAAAGGACTCGGCTAGAGATGAGTGAATGAGAGGAAGAAGAATAAAAGATGCAGTTAAAGAGGTTGGCAGGAACCAGATCACACAGGCTGTAGAGGCCAGGCATGAAGTCTGGATTTGATTGCAAGGGAAAAAAAGTCAAGCATAGGCAATTTCAAAACAGGCCACGGAACTAGGCTCATAAGGAAAGGGAACAGGAGCCTTGTCTGCCAAGCTTCCCTTTGCTACTAATGGTTTAAGAGCTTTAAAACTCAAACAAGACTCCAGGAAGTCACTGTGAGAAATCCATAGCTACCAGGACACCAGCACACAAGCCTTGCAAGAAGGAAGGCTGTAGAAAACAGATGCTACCACTTCTCTTTAACTTGGCATTAGAAAGCAGAAAAATATGCAAATTAGAAACGGAATATTCACCATTATATATGCATAGGACATAACTGCATGCCTAGAAGATTCAACAGAATCAGCTCCTTAGAAAATAATAAGTACATCAAAACTCATTGTATCCAGACAGAGTAAGTATAAATAGCTGGACATTATGATGAAAGAAATTTTATCACAGTTTGGACCAAATATTTTTATATTTTCAAATTAGCTTAATGAATCATCTAACCATTTGTGAAGGACTACATTCTTACTCTGGTTAGGGAAACTAGATGTATAGGTCAGGGTTTGCAAAATATGGCCCGTAGGCCAAATCTGACCCCTTCTCTGGTTCTGTAAAATTTTACTGGAACACACAGGTAGGCCCATTCATTTACCACTGCTCATGGCTGTTTCTGTATTACTATGGCAGGGTTGAGTAATTGTGAATGATGCTATATGGTTTCAAAATCAAAAAATATTTATTCTCTGGACCTTTACAGAAAGTTTGCTGAGCCCTGGCATACATAACCACGCTCTCTGGGCTTCTCAGTCAAAGGGTGTCTTCTCAGTCCTCACTCTGCCAAAGAACTCCATGCCCTTTGCCTTCCATCACATGCTCCCCTCCTGGCTTTCCTCCAGCCCTTCTCATCACCCTTTCTGATCTTTTTTGCTTGGCCTGTTCTTTCCATGTCCTTGAAATATAAACTATTTTCTAGGTTTTTCTTATCAGTCCTCCTTCCTGGACCACAACTATCACCTCAGTACAATGACTCCTAAATCTGATCCCCACCCTGACCCTTCTCCAAAAGCCAATATCCAACTGCATAGACAGGGAAATCCTCAAACACTTCAGACTTAGCACATCCAAGAAAGAACCTGTCCTCTCCAGAAGCGTGCTCCCCTGAAATACGTTAGAGCCAGCTCCCAGGAGAAACTCTGACTCCTGCCTCTCAATCAAAGTCATTTCTAGCTGGACATCAAGCTATGTCTTCTACCACATGTTGCCTCTCATCTCTCAAATCAGACCTGCTCTTTCCACTACCACTACCGCTGCTCAGACAGGCCTGGCCCACCTAACCTCGATGTGGCAACAGTCCCTGAGAAGGGAAAGGTGATACAAAAGTCCTGATAGAGGAGGGAACTCAGAAGTGGGAAATCTCTCCAACTGCATATGATCCTATCATTCCCTTGCACAAAATCCTTCTAGATCTTTCCATGACTCAACAAATGAAACCCAAAGTCCTTGTTGTGGCATTCAACATCCTTTAAGAGCTGAGCCATGGCCACCTTTCTGGTCTTATTCTTCAGCCTCTATAGCCTGGGAAAGCCCACATCCCAGCAAAACAGGATTATTTGTGATACTCCCCATGCAGCCTTTGCTTCTCTTGCTTTTGCCTCAACTTGAATGCTCTTCTCCTTTCCTCTAGGAGAGCACGTAGGCAAGGATATCAAAAGATCTTTCTTAACCTGACAAGGGATACAACATACTGAAGTGTATTATAAAGCTACAGCTACTGTGAGGCACAAGAGCAGGGGGCTAAGTATGAGGGACTTTGAGTCAATGATTGGGTTTCAAGCCCCAGTCTTATTAACCAGTTGTGTAATCTCTTTCAGCCCCAATGCTTAGATCATCAGTCAAATAGGAATAATAATGATACCTACCTCCTAAGATTGCTTGGAAGACAAAAAGAGCAAGCAAGGCATGCTAGGTAGTACACAGCAAGTGCACAGTAAGCAATAGGTTACAACCTATTGGTTATAACATTAAAAAAAATATGCTATTGTCTAAAATGAAAATTCATACAAATCTAATATACCTTACATGTATACCCATCAAAATTAATTGATAATGACTGAGCCCCACACCTGCCATGGGCTGGTTTGTGGGACTGCTGCAGGCACAGTATATTATTACAATCCTCGGGTAAATAGTTTTACAATGGGCCAAAAAAAGCCATAAAACTAGTTCAATCTGGCCTTCTCACTTCATCCCTGAGTATATTTCCCCTTGGGAGGGCAGGAGTAGTCACTTATGTTATCTACCCCCAAAACTGTCAGCCATACTGTTTGTAAGAGCAAATCATTTGAAACTATCTGATATGTTCAATAGCTGGGAATAGGCTAGACAAATCCCAGTTATAGTAGGAAGGTTATGGACCTGGCATGCTGTCTGGTACTCACAGGCCTTCGACAAAGGGCCTTTCCCTTCCCTTCCCTTCTTTGTATTCTAAAGATGTTCCCGTTTAGTATTGTTGATGAATCCATGAATGAATAAAAGAAAAAAATGAATGAATTCCTTAAAATATGTGTTAAACTAGATGTCCAGAGCATATACCCAATAAAATGCAGAACATTTGAAGACTAACATGCAATTTTTTTTGTCTCAGGATCAAAGTCCTTCTGTGGAAATATATATTTAATATTATAACTACAGTCTATAGAAGAAAGATTATTTTAATTAAAGTTTTGTTACATCACTCCAAACTTTTACAGAGTGCATAAAAATAATTAGCATAGCTCCAATTCATTAAGGTATCAGACTTTGCCTAAACTTCAACACAACCCCGGCTAGGCAGACATTGATAACTTGACATGAAGAGGAGGATCTGCTAACATCTAGAATGTTCCAAACGTCACCATGATAGAACAAAAATGGGGAAGAAAGAAAGTAATTGAGTTCTATTATGGGTGAAAACAAAAAACCAAAAACGTAGCCACATCTAGTTTCTAGAAAATGCAGTCCAAAATAAACCAAAAAGGAAAAAGGTGGGGCTGGTTATCTTGGCAGCTTTTATTAGTAAGTACTGACTATTTGGGGAGGTACAGAATGTGACCTCATCACTTCTTTTTGCTCTAGAGAATCCAATTGGAGTCTACTTTCCTTCTTTTGAGAGCCTGTGCTTGGTTTCAGACCATTTTTCCTGGCAGTCATATGCAAGAAATAAAAAAGGAGAAATATGACCTCACCTGCCCCAGTACCTTCCAGAGCCTGACAGAGAGCAATGCTTCCTGTGCTTTGCTTTCTTTAGCCTGATTCATTACACAATAATGAAAAATGCATTCTCTCAAAATAAGGGAACTATGAAGTCTTAAACAACTTAAGGTACTTAAGTCTTAAGTTGTTTAAGTAAATTAAGTAACAGGACAAGGATGGATAGATTTTCTATCTTTATTAACTATGAAAGATTTCTAGAAAATCAAATTGATAGATTCCAACCAGTGATTTTTAACCTTTGGAGGGCCGCACACTCCTCTAAAAATCAATAAAAGCTTTCTTTCTAGAAAATGAACTTTCTTTCTAGAAAAATGGACAGATCGACTTACATACATACACACATATTATACATACCCAATTCACAGATTTTTTTGCACACATTTTAGGGATTCATGAGCCCCACTTCCCCCGAAGGCAGTCCACAGCACTCAAATTAAGAATACTTGTCACTATTTGCAGCTGACATGAACTATAAAGAGAACCCTAAAGATTCCACTAAAAAACCTACTGAAACTGATAAGTGAATTCAGTAAAGCAGCAGGATAGAAAGTGAATATTCAGAAACTGGTCGCATTTTTAAACACCAATAATGGCTATCAGAAAGAGATATTAAGAAAACAATCCCATTCACATTTACATCATAAAATACCTGGCAATAAATTTAACCAAGTAGGTAAAAGACTTGTACTTGAAAAATTGTAAGACATTGAAGAAAAAATGGAAGAAAATACAAATAAATGTAAGCAGATACTATGCTCATGAATAGGAATAATTAATATCATTAAAAGGTTCCATACTACCCAAAGCAATCTATAGATTCAATGGAATCCCTGTCAAAATACTAATGATATTTTTCACAGAACTAGAACAAATAATTCTAAGATTTATATGGAACCACAAAAGACTTCAAATAGCCACAACAACCTTGAGAAAGAAGAACATAGTTGGAAATACCACGCTACCTGATATCAAACCACACTTCAAGGCTATCTATAATAATCAAAATGGCTGGTACTGGTATAAAAACAGACACATAGATCAATAGAAAAGAATAGAGAGCCCAGAAATAAACCCATGCTTATATGGTCAATTAATCTATGACAAAGGAAGCAAGAATATATAATGGGGTAAAGACAGTCTATTCAATAAATGGTGATGGGGAAACTGGACAAACAGGTGCAAAAAAATAAAACTAGGCCACCTTCTTACACCATACACAAGAATAAACTCAAAATGATTTAAAGACCTAAATTTAAGAACTGAAATCATAAAACTCCTGAAAGAAAACATAGGCAGTAAACTCTGACATTGCTCTTAGTATTTTTTCTGATACATCTCCTCAGGCAAGGAAAACAAAAGAATATGTAAACAAATATATCAACATCAAACTAAAAAGCTTTTGCATAGCAAAAGAAACCATCAAAAAACAACCCCCACAAAGACAACTTACTGATTAAGATATTTGTAAATGATATATCCAATAAGAGGTTAATATTCAAATTATGTAAGGAACTCATACAATTTAACACCAAAACAAACAAAACAACCCAATTAGAAAAGGAGCAGAGGACCTGAATAGACATTTCTCAAAAAACAAAACAAAACACACACACACACACACACACAAACATACAGATGGCCAATATACATGAAAATATGTTAAAGGATAATAATCATCAGAGAAATGCAAATTAAAACCATGAGATATTACCTCACACCTGTCAGAATGGCTATCATCAATAAAGCAAGAAACAGTAAGCATTGGCTAAGATTTCCAAAATATATAAAGAACTCACATGACTCCACTTCAAGACAAACAATCCAATTAAAAAATGGGCTAAGGACCTGAACAGACACTTCTCCAAGGAAGGACCCAGAGACACACAAAAGGATGCTCAGCATCACTATCCATCAGAGAAATTCAAATTAATACCACAATGAGATAGGACTTCACACTGGTCAGAATGGCCATCATAAACAGATCAACAAACAACGGGTGCTGGTGAGGCTGTGGAGAAAAGGGAACTCTAGTCCACTGTTGGTGGGAATGCAGACCGGTGCAGCCATTGTGGAAAACAGTGTGGAATTTACCCAAAAAGCTAAAAATGAAACTGCCTTTTGATCCAGCAATTCCACTGCTGGGATTATACCCTAAGAATCCCAAAACACCAGTTCAAAAGAACCTATGCACCCCAATGTTCATAGCACCACAATTTACAATAGGCAAGTGCTAGAAGCAACCTAAGTGCCCATCAGTAAATGAGTGGATCAAAAAACTGTGGCACATTTACACAATGAAATACAACACAGCAGAAAGAAAGAAGGAACTCCTACCCTTCCAGATGGCATGGATGGAACTGAAGAGCATTATGCGAAGTGAAATAAGCCAGGGGGCAAAAGACAAATACCATATAATCTCACCTATAAGTGGAAGCTAACCAAGAAAACAAACAAGCAAGGAAAATATAACCAGCAACACTGAAAGAAAAAAGAAACCAACAGAATCAAGAGGGAAGCGGGGTGCAGGGAAAGGGAAGGAAAGGGTCAAGTCAAGGAACATGTATAAAGGATCCATGGACAAAGCTGAAGTGGAGAAGGATTGGCGGGGGCATGGGGGGGCGAAATGGTGGCAGGAAGGTGGAGACAAATATACTTGAACAACAACAACAAAAAAAAGATGTGGATAAAAAGAAACCATCATGTACTGTTTGTAAGACTGCAAATTGGTGCAGCCACTATGGAAAAACAGTATGGAGGATTCTTAAAAAATTAAAAATAGAACTGCTTTATGACCTAGCAATTCCATTTCTGACTATTCTCCCAGGAAATCCAAAACACTAATTTGAAAAGATACATGCACATCTATGTTCATTGCAGCACTATTTACAATAGCCAGGATATGGAAGCAACCTAAGTGTCCACTGATAGATGATTGAATAAAGAAGGGTACATATATATGATGGAATATTACTTGGTCATTAAAAAAATGAAATCTTACCATTTGTGACTACATGGATGGACCTCGAAGATATTATGGTAAGTGAAATAAGTTAGACAGAAACAAATACCATATTGTTTCAGTTACAGGTGGAATCTAAAGTAAATGAACACATGAAACAGAAAAAGACTCATAAGTACAGAGAACAAACTGAGGGTTTCCAGCTGTGATGGAGGATGGGAAACAGGGTGAAAAAGGTAGAGATTAAGAAGAAAAAATTGGTAGTTATAAAATAGCCATGGGGAAGTTAAGTACAACGTAGGAAACAGAGTCAATAATATTGTGATAGCTGTGCATGGTGCTAGGTATGGACTAGGAAAAAAAAAAATTCCTGCCCTAATTCATTCTTTTCAAACAGAAAAGCTTAAAATTACCCAGGTAGTTGAAGCCAAAAGAGACAGCCTGCAAATTTCAGAACCTGAAGATAAAGCAGGGATCTAGCCCTTCAATTATTTTTAAATGTCAATTATAGTGTTTTGTTTCTTTGTATCAGTAGAACTCTCTTTTCAAACATTTCAGCAGAACACCAATAGTTATAACAGATAAAAATGAAGCTATTCTGATTGATAAAGATGCTGAGAGACTGGATCCCCATCCTGTTGGCTGTCCCTGAGGCAGCTCTGGCTCTGGGTCACAGGCAATTGGAAAACACTGACCTGGGCCTGCTTTGTTAGTCCACAAAGACTTAACTGCAGATTCCAGTCTTGTCTGTACTCCCAGATACTCCAAATGAGGTAACCGTGTCATGTTCAGATAACAATCTTAACACCACAGAACCCACCTATTTCTTTGCCCAGTTGGGAGGACTTCAGAGATCCTGCTGATGAGACAACAGCACACCTGCCCCACGGCCCAGCCTTGGTCCTAATGCTGTCTTTGGGCAGGTAGCCCTCCCATTCAGAGGTATTGAAGGGAAAATCTGTGGCCTCTACCATGGATACGTTCACTTGGTCCCGAAGGTGGCAGCGCAGGGCCTCTGCACTGAACTTGACACCAGGCCCTGGCCCCTTGTAGGACACATTGTACTTGTTCATGTTCAGATAATTCCTCCAGATCTTCCGCAGCCTGGGGATAAGGTTTTTGGAAGAGCTGTCTTTGTCCCACACCTGGAAGAAGGTCTCTAGCTTGGTCTTGGCCGGGCCCCTGGGACTGCTGAGGGTCTGGCTGCTCCTGTGGGGGTCCTGGGAGTTGCTTGAAGATGCAGACTGGGAACCAGACCCCACGGCAAGTTTCTCCAAACTCACTGCCTGGAATTCCTTGGTTTGCAATTTAAGGGAATTATAGTAACTCCCTTTCTTCTTCTCCTTCCAAATACAGATGGCTGCAAACAGGACAAAGGCCAGCAAACAGCAGCTGAATTTTTTCTTCAAGGTGGTGTGAATCATAATGAAAGATGCATTCAAGGGAGCAACTCTGTGCAGAGCAGGAAAACAAGCCTAAAAAAAGTAATACAAGACAAAAAAAATGATGTAAAGAACATCTACAAGTGTAATTGGCGACAGGCAGGGCAATGGGTTGAGCAATGGATTTAGGGTGACAAGATTTGAATTCTACCAGGTCTGGGTTTTGAGTGCAGAGAACAGTCCTCAGATGCTCCTTTCTTGTCTGTGTTCTGCATGCTTCCATTTTACACCCTGAATCTTAGTTTCCTCTTGTATTGGTCTAGCTCCCCAACTACACTCTGAGCTTCCTGTGGTGAAGAACCATACCTCCTTTGTCTCCTAGGGCCTTACGCTCTCTGATAAATGCAAGCACACATGCTTTTAAAAAAAACAAGGAGAAAAGAAAAAGTAGGCTAACTAACTGGTCTACATCACAAGAACCCAAACTCCCTAAAATGCTAAGGGGCCCAGCATCCTTTTAAAATTTCCAGAAAAAATCCTGGCTGGCGTGGCTCAGTTGGATAGAGCACTATCCCATAAACCAAAAGGTCACAGGTTTGATTCTCAGGCAGGGCAGATACCTGGGTTGTGGGTCCTCAGACAGGGCACATGTGAGAGGCAACCAACTGATGTTTTTCTCTCACATCGATGTTTCTATCCCTCCCTTCCCCTCTAAAATCAGTAAGCGTGACCCCCAGTGAGGATCTAAATACATACATACATACATACATAAAATTTGCCAGAAAGAGATCTCTCTCCATAGACAATGCCATAGTTTTTTTTGTGATGCATCTCTGTAAGTGGTGGTGACCTCCTGAGTGAGGAGAGCAAGGGTTAGCTTCACAACAAAACGGTCAGGTTTACAGAGTGCCTTGCAAGAGTATTATCAAGGGACAGGAAACTGGCTTGCCTCATGGTAAAGGATAGGAAACCTTGGTAAGACAGCAGCCAAATGGCCAATTCAGAAAATGAAAACAAAGATGAATTAAGCCTACAAGATGTTATTTCATTTAATGTCACCATAAACCAGGGCCCCTGTGATATACATCTCCAGCAAGCACTACATAGATGACAGTCGGCTATGAAGGTGTCGACACCTCCTGAGCTGTGCAGAGAGGCCCTGACCATCACTAGCCATGGTGTTCTCATCTCCATTACAAAGATCAGCCACCTGAGGCTCTGAGAGGTTGACTGCCTAGTATCACAGAGCTGAGGTTCAAATCTAAGTGCACTTGATTTCATAATCCATGTCCTTTTTACTACATCCTGTACAGAACTGTTCAAACTTCCAGAAAATGAATTTCACTAAAAAAATAGAGCGTGAATAGTCCCTTTCATCTGGGTAAACCTACTTTGTTTGCTCAGAATTTATTGAATAATTGAATGGAAGATGAAAGCACTTTGACTTCAAACGAAGTCTGTATCTTTAGAAAAACATTAAACTCTTTCCTAAGTAAATGGGTTTATTTACCATAATAAGTGTAAGGAATCACCCCTGGTTTTTGCTAACCCACTTGGGACCTACAGTCTCTTCCCATGGAGGCTGCTCCTAAGGGTATCAGGGATAAAGTGGTAGGAGTACTAGACAGGGTACTCAGGAAATCTGGGTTCTCATCCCCCTTCTTGGTGACTGGGTAAGTCACTTAACTTCTCTGCACCTAAGTGTCTGTCCAGGAATCATCTCTTCCCTATCTCATTTACAAAGTGCTGGGTGGATGAAACAAGGATGGTATTATCAGGCTTGGATAATAAATGCAAAGACACAGGAGGTGTTCTGAACAGAGACCAGACCAGAGAACAGCCCCTCCACATGGAGACAATGTGGAGGCGACATGGGACAGTGAACAAGGCCAGAGAGGAGCACTGACCCTGATTCATCAACCTGAGCTTCAGGTCCTTCAGCCGAGACTCTTCCATTTCAGTGATATCCAGGCCATTCTTGGAATTCACTGGCAGTGCCAACTAAACAGTGCTTCCTACCACCCCAGAAGTAAGGAACAAGTAGCTCTGGGCAGGGTGGGCTCCTGCCTGTGCTGCTGAAGTTTTGAAAGTGGTGGTGAAATATAACAGAGGAAGAATTCCAACTTGAAATCAAGAAATGATGTCATATCATCAGAAAACTAGGAAACTCAATGTCCTCCAGCTAATCACATGACCATGACAGCTAAAGAACTAGAGAAGATGGAGCACTAGAGAAAGGAGCATTTAAGACGTGCCTAGTGTATATATGGTAGGCACTTTACCTGCAGTATCTCATTTAATTCTTGCTATAACACTATGAGGTAGATATTAAATACCTCATTTGAGGAAATGCAGAAACTAAAACTTAGCAAGGCTACAGGGCTTCTCCAAAGTAGCTGTTGAGCTACGCAGTGCTAGAACCAGGATTCCATGCCACATCTCTCTGATTCTAAAAGTTCATGGTCTCTGCACCAAAAGCACAAGCATCTGTGATAAAGGACAGTGAAAAGTCAATGCTGACCAAAGAGGACTCAGAAATCAGGGTCACTATAGGTACAACTCAATGTACCAGACAATCAGCGCTACAGCAGCCATCACCTGTGCTCACATTTTGCCACCCGGGAAGCCCTTTCACAGTATTATATTTATGAGACCCCGTATAACCCTGTGAGAGAAGTAGGGAAATTTTTATCAGCGCCATTTATAGTTGAAGAAACTGAAATTTTTTCATTTAAATAATTTTCAAAGTTGCATGAGTGACTTAGAAAGAGTGGAGTTGAGACTTCTGTATGGATGAGTGAAATGAAAACAGGAGGTAGAGAGGTGGGACCTGATTCACTGTCTGGAGAACTGAGGCTCAGAAGGGGCTGGAGTTCAGCTCCCTGCTGCACCTACTCTCCCAGGTTGAGTTTCCCAGGGAAGAAGAGTTTAGCCAAACAGCCACGCACAACACAATCCTGCAACTTTAAACAGCCTCAGCCTTTTGGGTCTGTGCCCCATTGTGGCCTCAAGGCACTCATCTGAAACCTCCCGCCTTTCTGGTTATAGGTACTTCAAGCTTCAAGACCTTTTTTCATCTCTCAAGCTGCCCTAAAGAGACAGAGACTGAAGAAGTTTAATCTAAGCAGCCCAAACTGAAGAAAAGAGGTAGCAGATTGTTTTCCCCAAATTCTTCAAGAAAATACACGAGGCTCCGAATTTTCCATTCACACTCCAGTCTGACTTCTTAAGCTTCCACGCCTTTACACTGCTGCAGTCTCTCTCCTAATCCATCTGTCTGACAATCAGGCAGCAAGACCTTTCTGCTCTGACCTCCTGTGGAGCCCACCTTCCTTTTAACACTATTCTTGCTTTGCCTGCTCACATCTAGCGCTTGCTTCTTACTGACTCTGCCAGAGGGAAACTGCTTCTGGCTCATTTCTGAAACCCCAGTGCCCAGCACATGCCTAGAAAAAGGAGGGCACTCAATTAAGGATTATTGAACAGATGAGACTATATCAATGAATCTTTACAACCCCTATCAGATTTCTAGAAGAATTCAATAACAATTCACATTATCACCTACAGAGAAAAAGTCAACACTGAACTATCAGTAGGAAAATCCCAAACTGAGGCTCTTGCCTCCTGCCCCAGTCTACCCATCACTACATGCATAGCATCAAATGCATGATTTGGCACATAGTGGGGCTCATAAGAAGTGGACTGATTTAGAGAATAACTTCAAATGTTATATTTTATAGTGTGTAGAAATGGGCAACCACCTACCACTCCCCCGCCCCCGCATTCCGCATTGAATCAACTAAAAAAAAAAAAAAAAAAAATGCATGAAGGAAACAGCAAAGCTGTAGCCAAACATTGAGACTCTGTGGCCCTTGTCAGCACACTCCACTACACCATGTTTAATTCTGGGATGGTCCCCTTTCCTGCCTCCAGAGCCCACACCTCCAGGTGTTTCTTACCTGCTTCTGGCCCCTGGGACTGAAGGCCCACCAGGTCCTCAGGATCTAGCACTGTTCTTCATGGAAAGGGTATTTGCTTTACTGGGTCTGGAGGCCACAGCTCATTTTTTTCTCAGAATGATGAAAAAACATCTGCAAAGGGGGAAAAAAAAAAGAGGTAAGAGCTGCTTTCCAATAGGGACAGGGTTAAAAATTAACAAGATAGTTAGGCACTTCTGCTGCTCTCCAGCGAAGGCCCTGGCCTAGGCTATGGCTCAATCCAGGAAGCCCCAAGGGCTCAGAAAAAGAGAAGTAAGAACTTATTACAGCTGCAGTGCCCTGGGTCCATGAACAGCAGAGATAGCCTAGAAAAAGATTGATACTAGATAAGAACACGCTAGAAAGGTAAAGAAAAGTTGGCTTGGGGACACATAAATAGCAATTTAGGGGAAAGAGGAATCAGTTTATCTCAAAATAAACTCTAGACAGATTTTTTAAAAATTACGTATTATCAAATATTATTTAATGAAATGTGAAAGTGTAATCATATAATGTTAATGTAAAAATAGGTTATAAACAGTATATAGTATACTATCCAAATACAGAAAAATACAGTTTTTAAAATGTGCATGTGAGAAAGAGAAAGGACTGGGGGGGAAAAAAAACCCAGGATGGTAGAATAATGTGGTTTCATTTTTTTATAATTTTTTTGTGTATTTCAAATTTCTAAACCATAGATGCATTACTTTTACAGTTGGAAAAATATTATAAAAATGTAATTTTTAAAAGCTAAAAATATAATTCTATATTTGTCCTCTTTTTTCTTTCTGATGAAATGTAGAAAAATAACAAGAAAAAGTATGAGTCGGTTACATAAAAATTCCAAACTTTATGCAATGAAAACTACCAGAATATAAAGGAAAACAAGAGTTAAAGTATGCAAAGGGTTAATGCAGTAAAAGCTTCTCCAAATAAACAGGTAATCAACATGAACAGACAGACAAGTCACAAAATAGAAGATACAATTAACAAGCATACGAAATTATGAATCCTGTCAGCCATGCACAGGGCCAGCAGGCCTGCCTGCCTGTTTCCCGGTCATGAAAAGCTGGGATTCTCCCAGCCTGAACCCAGGCTTTCAAGTAGGATTCTCGCCTACTTCATGAGATGAAGCCGGTTTGTGACCACCACAGCTGCATCTCCCAGGACAGCTGGATTGTGCATTAAGTTGGTATGTAAGGTTTGTATTAAGTTAATTGTATATTAAGTTGATATGCAAGTATATGAGCCCAAAATAGTCAACCAGAATATTAAGATACATAAGATACATAGAATTTACATTAGCCAGCTGTTTTCAAAATGATAATACTCATTTCTGGACAGATTATAATAAAATTGGTACATATTTCAAGGAAGCACTAGAAATGAATTTAACCTTTTTAGAAAGTGATCAGGCCATAGAATTGACAGTTCATGACTATTATCATACTTTCAGGAAATAAAACTGAAAAATAAATAAGAAAAAGATTATAAACTTTGGTTTCCTCACATGTAAAATGATTCTCTACCTTACACAGTTTAGAAGACTGAAAGAGGATTAATGGAATAAAGAATGAGTTTTATAAAGCAATATACACGTGCAAAAAATAATAATTTTGCATTTTTAAATTATTTATAATGGTAAAAAGTCTAAGGTTAACTACCGAGCTTCCAGCAATGGCAAAATAATTAAACAATGGTACACCCACCATTATAGGACGTGCATGTGTGTGTGTGTGTGTATGTGTGTGTATCTACATATAATTGTGTACAAATTTAAGTAGAAATAAGAAAAAATGCTTAAAATATTACAACAAAAAAAGAGAAACAGAAAATGTTACCATTATGAATAAAAGTTACACACATCTAAAAACCTAGAAAAAATGTACATGGTTGAGACCCAACAAATGTTGAGCAAACTGGTAAGAGATGAATTCTCATATTTCAGTTTGACTTTCTTTATTCTTAATATGTCAGTTGCATAATCAAAGTAAAACTGTTGGGGACAATGTTGAAAATATAGTATTTCAACCTTGCGTATCAACTTAATGCACAATCCAGCTGTCCTGGGAGATGCAGCTGTAGTGGCCACAAACTGGCTTCATCTCATGAAGTAGAAAATCCTACCTGAAGGCCTGGGGTTCAGGATGGGAAAATTCCAGCTTTCCATGACTGGGAAACAGGCAGGCAGGCCTGCACATGACTAATAGGGTAAAGGTTAAAGGTGCCATCCTGTTCTTTGTAAAAAATTTCAGGGCTTTCCATAAGAATTCAGAGAACTCACTCCCTGGTAGCTTCCTGGTAGAGCCAGAAAACATCACTGAGAGCTATCCCTCTTTTCATGTCCTTTGTGTAAATTTCCTTTGTGGCATGAGAGTTTGTGATGATATGCATATTTATATCATTACACATTTAGTTACCTTTGTCTCCTCCTTCAAAAAATGGAAATTCCATAAGTAGAAACCTCATCAGCTTTACTTCACTATTATCCTTGGTGCCCAAATAAGTGGTTAGCCCATAGTAGGCATTTAATACCAATTTATTGAGTGAATGAATCAATGAATGAATGAATGAGGGGAGGGTTGCCAGCTCTTAAGAGTTCTGCTTCCTTGGGCATCATTATTGAAAATGGTTCCTTTTTCTGCAGTCTCCCAGCAAACACTGCGGGGAGTCACCTGCCCTTTGGATGATGCCTCTTGACTGTAAACACTGGTCCGCTGCTCTCCCCTCAAGGTGTGAGCTGCTGCGGAATGAGACTAGTCTGGGTTTGGTGCACAGACATCGGAGGACTACAGCGAACCCAGATCTTCCCCCGACACATCAGCTGTTCTGAGTTTTTTCAGAACAACTTGTCCTCTAAGAAAATAAAAGCCAGTCTCCACTCTCAGTTCCCAAAAATCACCAGTTGAAACAAAAGTAGTGCAATGAGGGCCTTCCAAAAAATAGTCACTGCTGCTCATAAGGTAGTAGGGATGATCTTCAACCAGCTGCAGAAGTGATAACAGAATTCCCAATGGTCAGGGTGAGAAACTTTAGCAATCATGACAGTAATAGTTACCATTTACTTAGTATTAGCCAAGTGCTAAGCACTGACTACAGCTTAGAGGTTGAGTAAGAGCCTTAGAATTAGACTGATCAAGAGTCCAAACTCTTGCCTCTCACTAGTTACATGACCTTGGGCAAGTTACTCAACTCCCTAAAACTCAGTTTCTTAATCTGTAAGAGAGAACTAATAAAAACATGAGCCTATCTCATATGATATTTTAAATAGGTCAGAATACACACAAAGGGACTGCCATAGGGTCTGTGACAAATATTATTATATGCATCACTTCTTACCATCAGCTACTCTGTGGATACCATTACTATCCCCATTTTACAAATAGGGAAGATGAGTAATATGCCCAGCATAACTCAGTTTTGGCACTCCATATGTCCCATGCTCTTTTATGTTTTTGTAGCCCTGCACATAAATACTGCCTCCTGCATGAAACATCCTTTCCTGTCCTGTTCAAATGGGAGCACACCCTCTCAGCCTCCCATACCAGTTCAGGTGTCACTTGCGCTCTGAAGCCTTTCTTGACCCCACAGAGATCAACACAACTCCACTGTTCTGTCTGGCTCTCAGCAGACTACATCACATTTATCTGTTTGCAGGTTTGTCCCAGCCAGACTGAGAGCTCCTTTAAGATTTATCTCTGGTCTCCAATGTCTAGCCAGACTTTTCTCCTCCACCTAGATCCTTGAATATTTTAGCTCCTGGATCACTATACATCTCTCCAAGACTATTTCAATCATAACTCTTTGTGATATTAACATCCACCAAAAAATGATTCTAGTCTCCTGGTCTCTCAGTTCTGTGATTTCTTCTACTCTAATGATTATGACCTCAGCCACTCATTCCCAAGGTCATCTCTCTCATCTTGCCATTTATAAAAAATATACCCACCCCTACAGTCTTGATTTCAGGCATACCCTCTCTAATTACCACCCATAATGCCTCTAGTCACTATTTCCAATTTCCCTCTTCTCCAATTCTCACTTGTCCCCACTCCTTCAGGCCTCTCCACATCAATGAAACTGCTCTTGTCTATGTCACCAAACTTCCATGGCCTCCACGTTACTAATCAAATGGTTAGTGCTCAGTTTTCCTCTGATTCAGCCCATCAGCAGTATTTTATACAGTTGGTCACTTCCTCCTCCTTGGTTCCAAAACCTACTCTCTACTGGCTTTTCTCTGTCTTATTGGTCACTCTTTCTCAGTGGTCTCTGTTTCTGGTTCCTCCTCATCCTCCCACCTCTAAACAATGAAGTGCCCCTAGGTTCTGTGATTTGTTCCATCTATACTCACTCTCTCCTGGCTGTGAGCACCTTGTGGTCAGTTCCTTCTTTACCTAGTCAGTAGTTTGCACTCTATACACATTTGGATATGTGTACTCAAATGAGTTCAGAAGGTGGGTTCTCTCAGTGAGTTTCTATAGAAAGGAACTCCTTAATTTTTAAAAAGACAACAACAAAAACCCAGTAGGCTGTGGGTAGGGGCATAGAATAAAACACTGTACTCACTTCACAATTCAGTCTACCATCTATTATCTGACTCGGGGTGGGGGACAGCAGCACAGAGAACAATGATGATCAGACTCAGAGAACATCCGAATTATTAAAATGATGTTCAAATGCTGTCTCCTGAATTCTCCCTTAGTCATTCTGATCCAAGTCCTCTGAGATGAGGCTCAGAAATCTGAATTAGCAAGCCCCACAGGTAATTCTGAAGCAAGTGATTCCATCTATATGCTGCTCTGAGAAACACATAGTTTAGGATACTATTACTCAAAGTGTTAGTCTGAGAGAGTTTTATCAAGAATCAGGTTGAGAAAAGTACAGATACTGAGTGTAATCCACTTCTATAGTAATTCAAAGAAGTAATTTTATGCCTGTTGAATCTAATAACTTTTAAAATAGAACTTTTTTTCATTTTATTGTTCTAGTAATTCCTTTTTATTGTGCTTTAAAAACTGTTGATGTATGAGAAGTTGGGGTGGGGGAGAAAACCTGGTTTTTTGCCACTGATAGTTGGAGAAGCTTGGCTTTAGAGAAAGAGTAACAGGCTCTGT